ATATATATATATATTTAAATACTACTGAGTAATCTAAAAGTTTTTAAATACCTTTTGAATTGCATTTTTTTAGAAAATATAAAGATTTTAAAATATCATTTTTATCATTCCAATATATCAGAAGGTACGAGAAGATAATATAGAGAGACGCAGGAAGCAATTGCCAACCATGAAAGCCCAAGGTACAATGCATTAAGTTCCAAAAATATACTAACCAACTATATATCCAAAATAAACTGTCTAAAAGCTCTAGAATTATATTTGAGAAAAAAGAAATTTATGCCGAGGTTAAACATTGAATACAGAACCATCATTTGCATGATGGATGATGTTTCGAAAACTCCCAAGACTGTTTAGTATCTGATAAAGGCGACACCCTCAAATTCAACACATCCCTTAACCATTTAATCCTGTTCACAAGTTCCTCCAAGTCCATGATTGCAGCTTCTATAGTATTGGAAGACATGGAATTAAGATAGAGACTTCTGTCGCTGCTCTTCTTTGCGGGATCCTCATTATATATACGACTGATGCTAGCTATTTCCATAATCTCAACTGACGAATCCATGTGTAAACTTGAAACGTTATCAGACTCGTTAATCTCCATACCATTTCTAGCACTGTTGCTTTGCTTTCTCCTTGCTATGGATCTATCCGGATAGTCTTTCAAATTTAAAGATGAAGAAGAATGCATCCTTACTGTATGCCGACCAACCTCATCCGTTACATCTGTAGCATTCCCACGAAACCCCAGGAAATAACAAAAAGGTTATACTGCAAAGTTAGTTATATATAACGAACAAAAATGGACAAAAATAATAATGCAACCAGAAGAGCAAGGTGTAAACAGGAAAATGACAATTGTAGAGAACGTGCCAAAGAGACAATGGAGGCTGTAACACTGATAACTGTCACATGCTTACCGGAGAAGTGAATTCTGGAATGATATCAGAATTGAGGAAATAAAGAAACAAAAAGCAGGCAAAGATTGAGCAAGGCAAGGAACGGAAGGGATTGGGGAAAGTTATATTCCGATCTGTGCCTGAACACCATAGTTATTTTCTGCACATTGTCTTCACAGAGAGGTATCTCTGCTAGTGAGGAGCTTGGTGTATATGTATTCCTTTCCTAATTTGCTTTAGTTTTATAAGGTACACAGAAGGACAAAACAGGTCTTTAACAAACCCAAGCAATCAGAAACAACTTGAATAACTGAATCCAAAACAAAATAGACCAATAAGCACGTATAAATGAGGACACTACATCATTTAACAAACAGCCAGAGAAGTAAGGGAAGAAAGGCTATCCAAATTAATTTTCAATTCAGAAAGCTCAGTTTTCATTCAAATGCAAAGAATAACAAAAGTATATTTTGATAGTGCTACCTGAATTTGCCGGAATGATTATACGAGCACAAGGCTGCCTACATTCATCACCCTGCAATTTTGGCAAGGAAGTTAATTATTCACTGATAGAATAAAGAGAGATAGAATACTAACATAAAGTTTGTATTTCTCATCTAAACAAATGAGGAGCAGAATAAAATATTATAGACTCCTAGGAGGTGCAGTCAACAACACTACTAGCAGAATTCTAACAAACAATATTCTAGAAGATCCTGGTTAATACATAATCAGAATAGAAAAGGGACACACACATAATAAAGAAAACCAGAATGCATATATTCTAACAGTCCCCCTCAAATTCAAGGTTATTGAAAAGAATCAATAACAATAAGTTTGTGACGTAGAGCAGAAAACTGAGCTTGAGTGAGAGGTTTGGTCAGAATGTCGGCAACTTGATCAGCAGCAGGAAGATGTGAACAAGGAGTGATTGAGCACTTTTTCCCGAAACAAAGAACATGTCCAGTTCCATATGTTTTGTTCTGGATTGGAGATCTGGACTTAAAAGCAACTGCATTTTGATTGTCACAATATATAACTGGGGTAGTACACTTGTTTCGGAGTTCATAAAGAAAAGATCGCAGCCATAAGATTTCACCAGCAGTAATAGCAAGGCTATGGTATTCGGCTTCTGATCGAGCAACCATTGTTTATTTTTTGGACCACCAGGACTGATAACTCAACTTCTATACTCTCATTGTTAGCATTTTGGTTTCTTTAATTTTTCAATTTTAGCTTAGATTTGTAATTTTTAGGAAGTTTTAGGTGTTGCAGCACTGCGCAGTGCCATCCATTGGTGCCCAGCGCATTTTTGAACCTTGCTCATTGTTAGCATTTTGGTTTCTTTAATTTTTCAATTTTAGCTTAGATTTGTAATTTTTAGGAAGTTTTAGGTGTTGCAGCACTGCGCAGTGCCATCCATTGGTGCCCAGCGCATTTTTGAACCTTGCTCATTGTTAGCATTTTGGTTTCTTTAATTTTTCAATTTTAGCTTAGATTTGTAATTTTTAGGAAGTTTTAGGTGTTGCAGCACTGCGCAGTGCCACCCATTGGTGCCCAGCGCATTTTTGAACCTTGCTCATTGTCTCGATACCCCAGCACCATTTGATTAGCACTCAACACAACCAAAAAGATTAACACCTGTTATGCTACCGCCCAACGCCATATTACTAGCTCCCAACGCAATCCAAAAACAGAATTTTCAGCTCTAACCTTTGCTAACTGTTTTGATCATAATTTTCTTTACCGGTGTCCTTACATGTGTTCAATTAATTGATTCTTTTTCCGTTGGATTCTAGACTCAAAGGGCTTTAATTTGAGTGGTAGAACATGATTTTTGGAGCTCTAGTCTAGTTGCAGTTCATGTTGGAATGAAGGCAGTTTGCAAAGGCAGTGCCAGCATAACTCAAAGATGTTTGTTAACTGTTTGGATCATAACTTTTTCTACATATCTCCAATTGAGCTGATTCTTGTTGCGTTGGATTCTAGACTCAAAGGGCTTTAATTTGAGTGGTAGAACATGATTTTTGGAGCTCTAGTCTAGTTGCAGTTCATGTTGGAATGAAGGCAGTTTGCAAAGGCAGTGCCAGCATAACTCAAAGATGTTTGTTAACTGTTTGGATCATAACTTTTTCTACATATCTCCAATTGAGCTGATTCTTGTTGCGTTGGATTCTAGACTCAAAGGGCTTTAATTTGAGTGGTAGAACATGATTTTTGGAGCTCTAGTCTAGTTGCAGTTCATGTTGGAATGAAGGCAGTTTGCAAAGGCAGTGCCAGCATAACTCAAAGATGTTTGTTAACTGTTTGGATCATAACTTTTTCTACATATCTCCAATTGAGCTGATTCTTGTTGCGTTGGATTCTAGACTCAAAGGGCTTTAATTTGAGTGGTAGAACATGATTTTTGGAGCTCTAGTCTAGTTGCAGTTCATGTTGGAATGAAGGCAGTTTGCAAAGGCAGTGCCAGCATAACTCAAAGATGTTTGTTAACTGTTTGGATCATAACTTTTTCTACATATCTCCAATTGAGCTGATTCTTGTTGCGTTGGATTCTAGACTCAAAGGGCTTTAATTTGAGTGGTAGAACATGATTTTTGGAGCTCTAGTCTAGTTGCAGTTCATGTTGGAATGAAGGCAGTTTGCAAAGGCAGTGCCAGCATAACTCAAAGATGTTTGTTAACTGTTTGGATCATAACTTTTTCTACATATCTCCAATTGAGCTGATTCTTGTTGCGTTGGATTCTAGACTCAAAGGGCTTTAATTTGAGTGGTAGAACATGATTTTTGGAGCTCTAGTCTAGTTGCAGTTCATGTTGGAATGAAGGCAGTTTGCAAAGGCAGTGCCAGCATAACTCAAAGATGTTTGTTAACTGTTTGGATCATAACTTTTTCTACATATCTCCAATTGAGCTGATTCTTGTTGCGTTGGATTCTAGACTCAAAGGGCTTTAATTTGAGTGGTAGAACATGATTTTTGGAGCTCTAGTCTAGTTGCAGTTCATGTTGGAATGAAGGCAGTTTGCAAAGGCAGTGCCAGCATAACTCAAAGATGTTTGTTAACTGTTTGGATCATAACTTTTTCTACATATCTCCAATTGAGCTGATTCTTGTTGCGTTGGATTCTAGACTCAAAGGGCTTTAATTTGAGTGGTAGAACATGATTTTTGGAGCTCTAGTCTAGTTGCAGTTCATGTTGGAATGAAGGCAGTTTGCAAAGGCAGTGCCAGCATAACTCAAAGATGTTTGTTAACTGTTTGGATCATAACTTTTTCTACATATCTCCAATTGAGCTGATTCTTGTTGCGTTGGATTCTAGACTCAAAGGGCTTTAATTTGAGTGGTAGAACATGATTTTTGGAGCTCTAGTCTAGTTGCAGTTCATGTTGGAATGAAGGCAGTTTGCAAAGGCAGTGCCAGCATAACTCAAAGATGTTTGTTAACTGTTTGGATCATAACTTTTTCTACATATCTCCAATTGAGCTGATTCTTGTTGCGTTGGATTCTAGACTCAAAGGGCTTTAATTTGAGTGGTAGAACATGATTTTTGGAGCTCTAGTCTAGTTGCAGTTCATGTTGGAATGAAGGCAGTTTGCAAAGGCAGTGCCAGCATAACTCAAAGATGTTTGTTAACTGTTTGGATCATAACTTTTTCTACATATCTCCAATTGAGCTGATTCTTGTTGCGTTGGATTCTAGACTCAAAGGGCTTTAATTTGAGTGGTAGAACATGATTTTTGGAGCTCTAGTCTAGTTGCAGTTCATGTTGGAATGAAGGCAGTTTGCAAAGGCAGTGCCAGCATAACTCAAAGATGTTTGTTAACTGTTTGGATCATAACTTTTTCTACATATCTCCAATTGAGCTGATTCTTGTTGCGTTGGATTCTAGACTCAAAGGGCTTTAATTTGAGTGGTAGAACATGATTTTTGGAGCTCTAGTCTAGTTGCAGTTCATGTTGGAATGAAGGCAGTTTGCAAAGGCAGTGCCAGCATAACTCAAAGATGTTTGTTAACTGTTTGGATCATAACTTTTTCTACATATCTCCAATTGAGCTGATTCTTGTTGCGTTGGATTCTAGACTCAAAGGGCTTTAATTTGAGTGGTAGAACATGATTTTTGGAGCTCTAGTCTAGTTGCAGTTCATGTTGGAATGAAGGCAGTTTGCAAAGGCAGTGCCAGCATAACTCAAAGATGTTTGTTAACTGTTTGGATCATAACTTTTTCTACATATCTCCAATTGAGCTGATTCTTGTTGCGTTGGATTCTAGACTCAAAGGGCTTTAATTTGAGTGGTAGAACATGATTTTTGGAGCTCTAGTCTAGTTGCAGTTCATGTTGGAATGAAGGCAGTTTGCAAAGGCAGTGCCAGCATAACTCAAAGATGTTTGTTAACTGTTTGGATCATAACTTTTTCTACATATCTCCAATTGAGCTGATTCTTGTTGCGTTGGATTCTAGACTCAAAGGGCTTTAATTTGAGTGGTAGAACATGATTTTTGGAGCTCTAGTCTAGTTGCAGTTCATGTTGGAATGAAGGCAGTTTGCAAAGGCAGTGCCAGCATAACTCAAAGATGTTTGTTAACTGTTTGGATCATAACTTTTTCTACATATCTCCAATTGAGCTGATTCTTGTTGCGTTGGATTCTAGACTCAAAGGGCTTTAATTTGAGTGGTAGAACATGATTTTTGGAGCTCTAGTCTAGTTGCAGTTCATGTTGGAATGAAGGCAGTTTGCAAAGGCAGTGCCAGCATAACTCAAAGATGTTTGTTAACTGTTTGGATCATAACTTTTTCTACATATCTCCAATTGAGCTGATTCTTGTTGCGTTGGATTCTAGACTCAAAGGGCTTTAATTTGAGTGGTAGAACATGATTTTTGGAGCTCTAGTCTAGTTGCAGTTCATGTTGGAATGAAGGCAGTTTGCAAAGGCAGTGCCAGCATAACTCAAAGATGTTTGTTAACTGTTTGGATCATAACTTTTTCTACATATCTCCAATTGAGCTGATTCTTGTTGCGTTGGATTCTAGACTCAAAGAGCTTCAATTTGAGTACTATAACATATATTTTGGAGCTTTGTACGAGATGCAGTTTAATCTGGAGTTCGAGGCAGTTACTTGGGCAGAGACAGTTTCAACCATTCTGGTGCAATTAGCAAAGTTGGGAGCAGACCCTTCCTCTTCATTTGATGTGCTATTGGGCTACACAAGGAATGGTCCAAATGGAGCTGAGCTAGGATTGTGCACTGCCACATCAAGAGATAACAAACACCAATTTTGCTATGGCAGCACACACAAAAACAGCTTTTTGGCAGATGTGGAGCAGCTTTTTCAGCACCTTTTCAGATTTATGTTAGGGATGTTTTCTTTTTAGCTTTTAGTGCTGTTGGAAGTCCCACATCGACTAGAGATAAGGCCAAATTAAATTATATAAGTGCCGGTTTTGTGGGGATGAGTTAGGCCTCAAGTCCACTTCTAACAAGTGCAAATATACCTAGATATACCTAGGGGAAGGAATGTTATAGCTGGAGAGAGTT